TTTAAATGATTTCTCTGTCAGCCCTATAGTTATCAATTTGGATTTTTCCGAATCATTTTTAAATTTGATATCCAATTGATAGTATTTAATGGACACCGGATTATATGTGTAACGTCTCTTCTGGTTTTCAATGAACTAAAACCACAATTGGATTTAATGAATGAATGATCCCTTTAAAAACGCATACATTTCGGATCTTAATTAAAATAAAACATTTCATTAGAACATTTGTTTTTTTTATCAGTGTGATGGATAAACAATGCCGGCGAAATACGAAACACTCACATTCGGGCAGCTGGCATTTGGCAGCACTCGAACAGGAATCTAAAATCAAACAGAAACAGTCGGAAATTCTCCAGTTTGCGTTATGCACTTACAATCAATTTGTGGCCATAAATTCAGCTGCCACGCCCAGCCAAAAAAAACCTCCGCCCCCCAATTTTTGACGCATCTTGTGCACGTCTGTGCGAGGGAAATAAAAAAAAAAGGGGGTGGAGAAAAACCCAGTCGAACCCCAAAAAAATAGCAAACATAATGGCGCTTTACAACCCTTTGCTGCAACAAATAAAAATTTATGACTCTGCCCCGAGTGGAGCCAAAGTAATGTGTATGCCATGAAATGGTGTAAGAAATGGTGCGAAATAAAATATTGGCTAATAATCGCATGATAATGCCGAAGGATTTGGACCGTCAGCCTGCGGCAAAAGTTCCCACTCGTGGGACACGCTGCGTATACGCAATCCATTCTCCACTTTTTGCGGGCAGTTAATAATGCTTTGGTTTACGGCAACTGATAGGGGGGGGGGAGGGGGCAGAAGTGGGTCTCAATGGGCGGTGGAAAGTGGGCAGTGGGCGTGGCGGCATTAATAATGACAACTCGTTTATAGCCGCATCAAAATGGATCTCAAAGCCCGGCACTCAAAGTCGCCCTTCGCGCTTTATCCTAATTGTACTGGAGCCCCTGAGAAGCCTGCGAAAAGCTCACATGTGTGCGTGGGAGTTTGCTTGGTGTAAGTGAGTATCTGTGTGTGTATGGGTGTTTGCTTGGCCCGGCGGCAAAAGTCTGATAAGCTGGGAGTTCACAAAAAAACGAAAGAAAGCCCAGAAAAACATTGCAGGAGTTGCATTTAAGTGCAGTTCTCACATCCTGCATGTCCTTGGCTTCAGCTCGGGGGCCTCAAGAGGGGATGTTCGAGTAAGTGCCTATGGTAACTACCGCCCGTAAGTGGAGTGCCCGTAAAAACTTATCCCACGCCTTATTATCTACCAGATAGGGCATGCACCTCTGAGTCATCATTATTTCAGTTAACTTGAAGGCCTTTCTGCCACTTAAACTACATTTTTTTAACGAAAAATGCTTTTCTTTACTAATATTTAAGGTTTTTTGGATTTATTAAGGTACTAATACAATTTGTACTACATTTTAAAATATTTTACATGAAGTGCTGACTAAATATCATAGATAACTACATATGACTAGCGTAAAAAATTAAACAGTTTCATGATACCATGGTATCATAATTTATCTAACGTTTCAGGCTCTTTTCTATGCCACTAATACTATGAAAAATATTTTTTGAACCACTTTTTTATTTTTTTAATAATAAAATGTATCTATTGTAATGTTTTCGTAATTGCTTGGAAACAAATAAATGAATGAAAGTCGGTTGATAAAACTATGTTGGGAGATTCCAACTAATTAAGAACAATTACAATATTGACTGGTTTTATTGAGAAAAGTTAGTAGTTGTTGATGTGTTCAAGAGGTAGACGTTTAAGGAAGGGATTCCCATCCTTTAGACCCCGAGATCTGTCAGGGTAACTTGGCTTCGTTGCAATGCCGTTGTTGTGACACTCGGTCGGGAGTTTTCTCCGGCTGATTGCCGTTGTTGCACCATCATTGTTGCACCGGCGGCGCTTCGGAGGTGCAACTTTCGCCCAACTAACAACTTTTAACGCTTTTAGCTGTTGATAGTAGTCAGCAAAGTTTTGGCCAACTGTTATCGCCGCGTTGCGCGCCCAGAGCACGTGCAAAGGCCCCAATTATGACACAAGAACTAGTTCCCACTTTCCGAACTCCAACTCCAACTTCGCCCCCTTTTCTGGGTAATGCCTGCCCGCAAACAATTTAGCCCATAGTTCGCTTTTTTTTTTTGTTGTCAGAAATCGTTTGTTTACGCTTCACTTGCCAGCTTTCCCGTCCTTTTCCACACGTGTTTTCCCCATCTCCCCATTCACTTTTCCCCCGGCTATGCATTTTTCATGGCATTTGTCTGAAGCATTTTCATTCCTGCCTGGCTGCTGATGCTGCTGCTTGGGCACTTTAAAGTCGCTGGGAAAAAGAAAAAAGCAGAGGAAAAGAGGGAAAAGCGAACACATTTCAAAAACATAAACGCACAAAATGTGTCAACCGCAATATGCTCGCTGTGTAAACAGGGCCGAGGCGGCCACATGCGGAAATCACTAAAGGCACTTCCTGCACCAGCAACAAATGCTATAAAAATCATGAAAGCAGCGCTTGTGCCCCGCCACAATCACCCATATCCACCCAGTGTGTACTTCTATCCACACCCCACTAAACGCTACTCACCTACAAAATACACACATAGATAAGCCGGCTACGATAAACGAGCGTTAGACTGGAACTGGATCCGAGGTCAATGGGTCGTTCCCGACCGTCTGTCTATGTCCTCAACTTCTAGGGATGATCACGTGATGTCTGTGACAGAGAACTATTATATACTCCTTAAGTTTTTGGTAACTTTTTTCGATAGCTTGTATTATATTCCAAAGAGTCTATGTGTCTATATCTTACTTTATTATCTATAACCATCCAAAAATTCTTTGAAATGCTTTGATAAAAATTATTTTTAATACTTTTAATTTAATTTCTAGTTCTATGATTAGTTTTGCTATAAAAAAATTAACTTCCTGAGTGACTGTAAAAGTTGACTACTATCGCCATTTAAGTATCCGCTCAAAAAGTTTTTGTTCTTGGCCATTTCTTCACATAGGACCTGTGTACACCTCTGTGTGAGATCCTTTTTCTTTCACAAATGTCAGCCATACTTTTGTATGAGAAGGCACCAAATGCCGCAACACTTTGGATCAGAACCGGGCATTCCGCAAGCAAACACGACATAAACACACACACACACTTGTGAAGCCAGGATTCAGGACTACCCTGGCTTATACATATACTTATACTTTCAATGGGAACTCGCACACATACTCGCACATCCATAGCATAGCATCATCTTCTCTCATTCCGGGCTCAGCCATGCAAAATATTCCAGCATTATAAAACTTCAATCTACTCTAAAGAACTTGTTTATGCCTGATTCGGATATCGACAGCCAGGAACTCTGAGATGCAGGAATGGTGGGGTAGGAGGGCAGGGTATAAAAGGACTGGACCCAACAGGATATAGAGTTAGCACGCTTTTTGACATCTGAGCCGGGCCAAGGCATTTCGCATAGCATACATTTCAGCTGCTCGTGTAGAATAGTCAGGGGTCCTATATTTTAAACGGGAATGCGAAAAGAAATATGAATTGATTCTGTTGAATGTCTGGCAGAGCTTTTAAAAACAATTTATTTACCCTACGATTTGCAAGTCCATATAGAAATACATATTCCTATATATTTTAACTGTTCCGAAACTAAATTGCAATATAAATAATTGATACTTTTCCTTAAAAACAATTGTTTAGGTTACTGAAAAGTCCCTAATCTCTAAAGATTCACTACAAATTTTAAGTATGCTTATGCTAATTGATACTTTTCCTTAAAAACAATTGTTTAGGTTACTGAAAAGTCTCTAATCTCTAAAGATTCACTACAAATTTTAAGTATGCTTATTAATGAATAGATCATAGCAAAATAAATAATATTTGTGTTTAAAAACGATTTCTTAGGCTACTTTAAGGTCTCTTATCTCTAAAGAGTCACTAGAAATTTCAAGTAGTTATACTCAAATTTAAACAACTTTGAATAATTAGACGTTCGTATAGTATAAGTATTATAACCGTTTGACTGGTGAATTTGGGATATAAATTTAATGATATATTTATGGAAAATATCTAACATATTTGGACATGCAATATTGCTCAGAAGCGGCTTAATTCATACCTAGAAACCGTTTCAATTCGGTTTGGTTGGAAACATCATTAGATCCCAGATTTAAATCGAAAGCTGAAAGCTTTCCACCGACCAGCCCACACGGAACCCACTCGCCGAATAACAAACTCTAAGCTCTGATTTTCCATGCTCGATAAACTGGGCAAATGTCTGTTTCTGTGGGTATCTGTGGATTTGCACGCCAAAATGGTGATCAGTGCAGTGTTTACTTTTATATATTTTCATTTCGACCGAGACTGTGTGCGAATGGCCAAAGAGAACCCTTGCCGACAGGCGGAATGAAAAGGGAAATGTGCGAGTTGAGGAACATCCTGCCAGGGATAACAGTAAAAGTATGTCTAACCAAAGTAAGCTTGTTCTACTGCTGCAAAACACATTTAATGCCGTGCACAAAGGGAAACTATGGTCCAAGCCACTGAGGGAAAAACACAACATCTTTGAGTACAACACAGGGTGGCAGAATATAGTATACGGGTAATACCTTGTTATTATGGTATAATATGAGCGTTTTGGGGCATTTCTTTGGACTAACCTTTGTGCACGGAATGACATTTTTCCTTTGTATGTTTAAATAATACCATACCAGTTTAATGTTTGGTCATTCCTTCATTAAAATAGCTAAAGGTCTGCATTAACTCAAATATTTAAATGAAATGTGGTTTAAAAAAAGGGCAATCACAACACATTTTCTGTGGCTAATTACAGGTAATCTATTTGATTAAAATCACTATGTGAATTGTAATTCTTTACCATAAAATTAAGTATACTTTTAGCTTTCAATCGACAAACAATACATATACAGTTTGCAACATTTAATTCCACCTCCGTTGATTAAATAAATACTTTTAATTAAAAAGACCATTCTTGGTTTAAACATCAAAGGTTTTATTTAGCGACATAATTGCCATGTAGGCGTTGCGTAACTTAATAATCTTACAATAAACTTAATCGTAGCTCCAAACATTTGTGGAAAGCGTAAATACGTAAATACATTCATACATATATAATACAATGTTATGCAATACAATTGCTTTAAGTACAAAACAAACAAATTGTTTGCATTTCTTTTCTCGTTTTATTTGGCACAAAGGACTTCTCTTCTACAGCTAAGGAATTTTACGAGTTTTTGGTTTTTAAGTTGCCAGCCGTATGGGTTAAGGATTTTTCGGAAAAATATTTACAATGAGAATGCAAAATGTCAAAGTTGCATTTGCATTGAATGAAACACAAAATGAATCAGGCTGCCGAGGAAAGAAAGCACTTTAAGAGCATTTTTGTTATAAGCACACAAGAATACCAAAAGTTGCCTCGGCAACACAAAAAAATATCTAGCAAATAGCCAAAGAAAAATTGTATTTCTATTTATTTGGCATCTCGCTCCGCCCCTCAGTTTGTTTTGTTTGCCTGAGTGGAAATATAAAAATTACTTCGTTTACATCCAGCAGCAAGGATATACTATAGTATAGTAAGGTTGAAACGAGAGGGTGAGCGAGTCCAAACGGGTCACGCAACATTCTAGACAAAGTAATAACACTTGACGCACGTCTGAGTTTCCGGCTTGTGTCCGTCCGGAAAACGTGTGTACACAGAGAGAAAAGTTCACCGAAATAGGTCAAAGTCTCGGTACTTCTAAATATTTAAATGTGACAAAGAATCATGGACTTTTTAGCTTGATTATAACATAGATATACTATATAATAGCTTTATAAGAAGAATAAAAGGTTTGTACTATATAATATTCTTTGTAGCGTGTCAAAATATTTATGTTCATATTATTAAGAAAACTGTTCTATTACTTCAGATAGATAATAAACCATATTTATAACATTAAAGATATTTTTAACACATCATAGATATGGAATAATATAATCTTTTCCCATCAATATTTGGTATACAGGCTTTTATATTCGAAACTGCTACAACTTGGTTATAGATTTCTCTCTGTGCAGCACTGGTGGGAACTTGTAATACCCCAATCCATCTGCAGGTGCTGAAAACTAGACGAAACTCTCCTGACGTGTTAAATTGAATTTGAGCAGCGACGACGACGACGACGTCTTGGCCTTGGTTTTGCCACTGGAGCTGGAGATGCCACTGGAATTGGTTTGAGTTTGGGTTTGTGCCTCGGGCGTTTGGTGACCACTGGAGAAGGATCCGGTTGGCGTTGGAGTGGCCAGCAACAGCTGCTGCTCCTGCCGATGGACGCCGAGCAGTTGTCGCGCCAAATGGGATATATCCCCGCCGTAACTGTTGTCCAGGTGCTGTTGCGGACTGGAGGGCTTGAGGGCCAGGGATTGGCGCAGCAGATCCGGCAGATGCCACTGCTCCAGGAGCTCCGCTCCAAGGGTTGGCGAATCACTGGCCAGCCGCGTCAGGGTGTGCAGGATGGTCTTGATGGTGCGGCGCTGGGCATCGCTCTCCGCACGTGAGCCGTAGGTCTTGTAGAATTCCGTTTGGTACACGGACGTGATGAAATTTATGATGACGCCGTTGGCCAAGTGGCTGTGGCACTTCTTGTTCAGCGACATGTTGTGCAGCATCCCAACGATCTGCTCCTGTGCGGATGAAATAAAACAGAGGGGGAAATGTTGATGAGCAAAAAATAAGCAACCCGAAAGTGGTCTGGGTATATGTATAAGCATATACGTATGTATGTATATTGGAATGAAAAATCGTAGCCAAGATTGCGAAAAAATTGCTTTGCAAATGCACAAATAAATTTTACGAGCCAGCACCCGAAGAAGCTTTCAATAAAATTGCCCAACAAAAATTGAGGGAAATCGATCCGGGCGGAACCCATACAAGGTCAGGTTTGCCTCTGAAGTTCAAGCTCAGAAAAATATGACGGTGATGTTTAGCAAAAGCAAATTTGGGATATTAGACCTTTCAGCTGTTTGTTTCTAACTAAAGTGGTTATTCCTTTGTCAATTAATGTTCGGTAAACGAAATAATAAAGTAATAAGAAGTATTCTTAGATGATTTAAAAAAAATGAATAAATATATAGACGAGCTACAAATACCGAAGTGACATCAGAGCAATAAACAATCTAATAACAAGTATATTAATATTTACTTCGAATATATGCCTTTAAAATTGTATCCACATAACACATTTCCATTTAGGTGTATCACATTTATCTTTAATTTTCTATAATCCAGATACTTACGTAGAGAAAGACACTGGTGCCGCAGCTCTGGTGTTCCAGGGTGTCGATCAGTCGGAAGATGGCCTCGTTGGACATGATGGAGTAGTGGGAAGTGGCCTCCATCCGGCTCAAGTTGTTGAGGGCAGCGGCACAGAGGAGCAGCGTCTGCGTACAGCACTCCGGCTGCAAAAGGGCGGCCAGTCCGGCGACCAGGCTCTCCGAGCAGTCCCGCAAGCCCGGAACCCGGTGCTCCGGTCCATGCCAGGCGGCGGTGATCTGGGCCAGCAATGAGACGGCCTCCCTTCGCTCGATGGCTCCCCTCTCCCCGGCGGACTCCACCTGCAGGATGTCCCGCACGATCTCGATGCCACCACAGCTGCCCAGCTGATTGATGGCCTGGGGGGCACAGCACAGGGTGGCCAGAGCACGGAGGGCCAAGGCCCTCACGGAACTCTGCTTGTGATCCAGCACCACCACCAATAGGGTACGAACTGCCTCGTTCTGGATAAAGGCATCGGACAAGGAGGCGAATCCGTCATAGTCGATGTTCATCAGGGTAGCCACCATGTTGATGTTGGCCCGCAACAACAGATCGCACTGACTCTGCTCGATGCTGACCACCAGAACGCGGACCAGACGCTCGAAGATCAGCCGCAGGGTGATCAGAGTGTGCCTCTTCAGCAGCTGCACATCGTCCAGCAGGGATTCGAGATTGATGTAGTGTTGTCGCTCCAGGGAGTACCTAGTATCCTTGCTAACCGTTCGGATTTGCTCCAAATGCTGCTCATAGCGCCGCCGTTCGATCCTGGCATCATTGAAGAATATTACCCGTCGCTCCAGCGTGGCGGTGAAGTCGTCCAAGTGGGAGAGCAACTGGGTGGCTCCGGCGAGGGCTTCCGGCAGAGAACTGGCCTGCAGTCCGCTTAGTACCCGCTCGCTTCGCTCAAAGTGCCCCTGGAGCGACAGAGCCTGCTGCTGCAATTGTCTGACCAATTTGCAAACTGCACTGGTGGTAATCGTGTAGTTCTTGTATGCCTCCTGGGCAATGGACTTGTGCTGTAGGGTGCACATCACCTCCGGTTCGCAGGCCCAGCGCTGCTCCGTCATCCAATGGGCCACGGGTTGAGGGTGCTTCTTTCCCTTCTTGGCTATCTTGGAGTCACTTTTCGGCGTACTTGTGCTGGCTGTGAATCGCAGGGATCTAACTCTCATGGGGGAAGGTTGCATCTGGAGGGTTTCATCCTGCTCGGTGGTGCCAAAGGTCACCGTTTCATTGTTATAGGGCGGTGGTGCCTCGCCCAAGTAAACAGTTTCATTATTGTACGGCGGCGGTGGTGGCAGAACCGCAACCACTTCCTCCTCGCTAGCCGAAGCCTCTTCCGGTTCCGGTTTGGCCTTGCGCATCACTCGCCTGCGGCGTCTTATGGCCGGACGTGGTGGGGAATCCTCCTCCTCAGCCCCCACTGCCTCGTCGTCCAGCTTCATGCTGTCCAGCTGCTCGAACAGGCGACTCCGACTGGCCTCCAGCTCTGCGTCCACTTCATCCTCACTCTCCCCGTGCTTCGCCTTGGGCGTAATCTGGCCGCTGGTGAAAGAGATTCGCCGCGTAACGCTGATCAGCGGTGAGTAGAACGAGGAGTTGCCCACCCGGCGTACCACCGTAGGGGGCGTGGCAACCGATTGCACGGAAGTAGGCGTGGCCGTGGGCGTTTGCTGCCTATCCGATTGCGGCGACTGCGGGGAAGCCTGCTGGAGCTGATGCTGCAACTGATGCGATTCCTCATTGTCGGAGAAGCCCGAATCCTGCAAAAATCGGAGAGAAAATCAAAAACATTAGCATACTACATTGGCATTATATTAACATTAATTAGTAATTGATATGATGATAAGTAATACAAATTTAAAAACCCCTTTCTGATTTTAAATTAACACCACTACTCATAAAACAAGTAATTTTCCTATAAAATCAATAAGTTAATTTAATTTGAATTTGAGATATGTCTATGCATTTGCATATAATCCTTAGTAAGCATGGATTTATAACCCCACACTGAATGCATAAACTCTATTCAATTTTAACTAACTTCAATCTCAAACTACCTGAAGTATTGAATTTAACTCATGACTGAGCTAACTTTGTGTAATAATGTGGGCTTTTCTTGCATCCAATTTATCGTATCATGTTGAAAATTAGAAGACGTCTTTCTTATCCCTATTGTGTTGCAAATTTATAATAACCGCACTGGGTTTGGTACCGATGATATGCTCACCTGACTGCGCAGACTGCCGGGACTATCGTGCTTGTGCCAGGATAGCTTGGAGCTGTTCTGCTCATCCTCCACCTCCTGGATGCAGGACAGATTGCCCAGTGGGCCGAGGGAGGAGGGCTGTCGGGCTGGGCCACTCCCACTCCCATTTCCACTCCCACTGTTGAAACTCGAATAGAAACCGCCGCTGGTCAGGGAGGACTGGTCCGATCCCCACCAGACCTTGCTGTAGCTGCGCTGGAAGGACATGCCTGAAATGGAGGAGCAGAAACACAGGCAATCAGTGGTGTCCATCATTTAAATAAATTGGACTCATTCGTTTAACAGGCTTAAATTCATTAAATTTAATGCAATTGCCGCTTGGTTGGACTGGATTCATTGCCAATACCCGGATCCGGACATTCACCCCCCTTCCCCCTGGGGGGTGCCCGGGTTATTCAGGGGTCATTCGCCCCGTTTGTAGGGCGGAAAGTGGGCGGGACTGTGGAACTGCCACTGCACACACATGCCTGAACATTGGCTTAATATCCGTTACGAAAAAATTAAATTTCCGCCCAGCGATACAAATCATTATTTTAATCAATGAAATGTATTCCCTGCCCCTGCACCCCTGACCTTGCCGACCATTCAATTCAGTACTCCAATATTCGGTTTTCCAGTTTAAACTTTCGCCTTTGGGCAATTTAAGGAGCCCCAAAGTTTTCGTTGCCATCAAAATGACATTTGGCATATGGCCCAGTATACATTACTGGGCAATAATTTCTAAATAATTGATGTGAATGCCCCAAATTGTGGGCATTTATGCAGATTTTACAGACCAAATCTGTTGAGTTACAGGCATAAAGAGGGGGCGGAACCACCTGGTCCATGGATGTTACTGGAAATGCAAATGATTTTTGGGGGGGGTTTACGGGTCCAGAAAATGAACAAAACACATTTGGTGTGCGGCATCGGGGCTCTATTATGCAAATGGAATAAACTAATTATGCTGCAAAACAATTTTCGTGTGACATCGCAAACCGAACTCGTGTTTTATTTTGTTTAATTTTGCGTGGTTTTTGCACTTTGCAGCTTACATATTTATTAAACTTAGTTGTTTTCGCCATAATTACATAATATACCATTCGGAAAAGGGGGGGAGTGCCAGTGCACTTGTTGGTGGCAACTATTTGTGTTATGCATGAGTGGTAAAGTTTATTTTTCAGTTATGCATGCCCAGTGAACTCTGACCTCTGCTCCCCCACCCCGCTTTTTGGCCCACAAATGGCATTTGGTCAACTGGCATAGCAACTCTCTCCCCTGTCGAGCAAATATTGACAAAGTGCTTGTTTCAAGCAAACAAAAAGAAACAAACAAATGACGAAACATTTTTTACGCCTGTACATTCGCACATATTAACACTCACACTTCGGGGCACACATATTTATTGAATTCATTAAGCAATTAATTAAAATTATATTCAATTAGTACAAAGAGCACGCGTACAAAAACCAACAAATATTTGCGGCCATTTACAGTTTAATATGAAATTTTTAATGTTTCTAACGCCATTCGTAATATTTTAACATCATGTTAGCGTATCGAATATGGGATTTTCTTGGTCAAAATAACTGGTTATGATCTTTGTAAGTTGAACAATATTTTGAAATACCAAAGATCAAGGCGATTTTAACCAATTAGCTCCGATCATAAGTACCCCGTTTAAATTACATTAAATGTACCTGTAAAGCCCACTGAAAAGCCCCATTCGACACACATTATAGCCCCATCGAAATCGGGAATTACAGGGTATACAAATTAAAACCACTGTCCCTAGGACATGGGCTAATTAATGGAGAGCTCTGCCATTCGCCATCCCCATTTAAAAACCCGATCGCGGGGCTGAGTCCTGTGCAAAATCCTTTCGGCTGGACAATAAATATTGCACAATTGACGCTGGCTGGCTGAAAGAGGCTTAACAATGCAGCAAGGCGATAAAAATTAACGGCACTTAATAGCAACATTGGAAATCATTAAGTGATTTATGGTCAGCCGCAGGCAGAGCCTCAATAAGTGTCAGCGCACCCCAAGGAATCTCGTCCTACTGGCGAAAAATACACATCGATGTATAGGTAAGTATTTATTATCGTTCCTCTATTTACATGAGCATCTAAGAATACGTAAACGCACTTTATAATACAGCAACATACACATATAGACAAAAACTGAGTTTCCACATGGTCTTTTCTCCAACTATTCTTTCCATTTCGATTGAGTAGTTTGTTTCTTGTGCACAATAATTTCAAAAATTAAAACAAACTTCCGCTAAGGCGACACACTCAAATTACAACCAAAAGCGAAGCGAAATAATAATTATACATTTTAATAGGCACGGGGAATCCCCTAGTAGCGTGTAAGTGTGCGTGTGTGAGGGCCGTGTCTGGTTGGCAGTCAATTAGCAAGGGCGCCACATAAATTTTAATATCGAATACGTATTCGCTTTTCGGTTTTGTGTTTAATCAAGATAAACGAGCTCGTTTGCAGTATTTCTCTTTTTTTTCTTTTTGGCGGGGAGCGCCCGCTTTCACCTTGCAGACACACATACACACAGGGCTAGTTACGTCTATCCACCGGATAACTTTATACCCCGCCGAAGTCCGCTCAGAAAATCAACGCGGCAAATCGTTGAGCACGAGCGTGGACGTGTAGCTGGGCGCCTGGATGTGGGCCGTCTTTGTGGTCGTCAACATGGTGGTGGTCGTTATGGAGGCCTTGCCGTTGACATCCGAGTGCACCAGATCCGTTCCGTCTGTTGCCGTCGGTGGGTCCAACCCCACGGTCGAGACCTGGACACTCGTCATGGTCAGCCGGTGCGTGCGGTGCTGGTGCTGCGGCGACCTTAAGCCCAGGTCCGTGCCCGTGGACTCGTCGTCGCTGAAGTCGCTGGTCAGAACGCTTCCCGTCCGCCCGGAGCCGTCGTATGAGTACTGGGTGTGATATGTGCTACTCGGCTCTCCGCTGCCGCCCGTCGTGCTGCTCCCTCCCCTGGTGGCCATTTCCAACTCGCCCTGGTTGTTGTTTGTCTGGCTGCTGTTCCTCTGCTGCTGCAGCGTGTTGGTGGAGGCGGCGGTTATGTCCTCCTCGGAGATGTCATCAAAGGCCGGCGGTGGTGTCGACATCCCCGACATAGTCAGCACCGGCTGACGACCACCTGTTGGGGTACTCAGCGGTTGGAGACGCGAGACGGGCGAACGCAGCTGGGTGGTCGACGTTTTGCGCTTGGAGGGGGAATGTTTCAGTGGAAATGTGGGTGTCTTCTTGAACACCTGTTTGCCCATGGCGTCCTGGAAGCGCTTGGCATAGAAGGAGGGCCGGCACACCGACACCGTGTCCCCGTTGTACAGGATGCTCTTGAATGTGTGCTCCAGCTTCTTCTCCAAGCGATACGATTGCAAAATGTCAATGATGCCAATGTACAGGATCAATCTTTCGTCGTTTTCGGACCGAGCTGGTATGCCGCCAGCGGGCACGTCCTCGTCCTCCTCCAGCGGCACATCCATATCAGCGGTAATGGACTCCAGAGCCGTGGAGTGAGCGACCAATCGCTGGCGATTCATACTGCGTGTCCGGTTGAGGGCGGCTCCAGCAGAAGTTCCCGGTATGGAGGCGTAAGAGGCCACTGCTTGGAGCTGATTCTGATCCGCCTCCGGAGCATCATCATCGGGATTTAGGGAGGAAGGACCCTGGGCGGCACTCTCCTTGCGCTGCAGCTTGGCTCGTGCATTCAGGATCCGCTCCTCGCGCTTCTCCTTGGCGGCCAGGTCCAAATTATGGATGCCCACTAGCAGCGAGTAGTCCATGATCTGGAAGCTCTCCAGCACCATGCAATCTCGCCTAATGGTGCTCATCAGCGCATTGTACTTGTCCGTCTCCAGGAAAATGCCGTTCGGATGGTGCTCGGCAAAGTCGAGGTCCTTGAACGTGGGAGACGCCTTCTGTCGCTCCGCCTTGGAGGCCTTGCGGCGGAAGGACGAGCCCTTCAGGTCGTACTTGCAGTGCATCTTGATATCCGACGGCAGCAGGTTATTCATGGCCACCAACCGCACATTCTTCGAGTTGTAGTGGAAGCAATACAGGCCGAAGAACTTGGGCAGCAACGTTCGAGGATTCTGCGAGAGGTTCATGTAGTAGCCGGGTAGCAGTTTCTGCAGAAACTCGCACTCCTTCTTCTGCACCGTCTTGATTATGAACTCGTCGTCAGTTGTCAGGTAAAATATGGAGCCAGAGGCTCCCGGATTGGAGAGCTCCCGCAGGGGCGAGGCGCACATGGACATCAGAAAGTCGTCTGGTGCGATCCCGAACAGATCCCGGAAGTAGCGGAAGGCTATGGGTGCGTAGACCTTGAAGCGGAAGTCGCTGTAGTGATGGGCAGGTGTTATGGAGGAGCCATCTGGTGGAAACGAAATGGTTTCCATTTCCCAGAAGTCGTTCATAAGCAGATCCCTCTTGGGCTTGCTGGCCAAGCTACCGACCGTATGCTGAATGCCCAGCTGGATGGAGCCCATGATCTGCTTGGACTGGATCTTTTTGTAGGTAACCTCGCCACCTTCCGCCACTCTGCGGTGGCCGAGCTTCTTCTCGTGCTTGCCGCCGGTGGTGGAGGGATTCCGTGAGACACTGGCGTCCAGCGTGGAACTGGCACTTCTGAGTTTCGAGGCCGGTGTTTGGTTGGCGGCTATGTTGTTGAGCTCCTGTTGCAGCAGGGATGTGCTTTCCTGGCCTCCGTGGGCCAGGGCAGCTTCCCTGAAAAGCTGGCGAGATGTTCCCGGTTGCAGGCTCATTGGTGGCGGGGTCCTGGGCGTCTCCTCCAAGTCGGCATTTCCGCCCTGAGCAGGGATGATCTTCACGGGAGTGAGCAGGCTCTTCTGCTCCAGCTGCAGCTGGTTCTCCTCGGATTCCCTCTCATCTTCGGACTGATCCTTCGACTTAATCTCCTTGCCGACCGGCTCCAGTTCGAGTTCCACGCGGGTGTCCATTTCCATATCCCTCCGTAGATTTCCGCTCTCTGCGGAGGAGAAAACGACTTATTGCAGTGCCGCTCAAACAGTACAAAAGGCATTTAATTGCAGCTCGATAAATGATTGTGTTTGGGTGTGTGTTTGTGTTTGTGGGATGAGTAAGTGGGCTTGGGTGGGTGAGTAATCGATTAAGCCAGGGCCAACAATTGTCACGTTCGCACATATGTACATATTTCGCAGTTATATACCATATG